TTTAATTTGAGAGGTCCTGACAATTTTGATTGATCCCTGTCTTTTAATTTACCCACCACGGTTCTTAACTTTTATTTTTTTGGAGAATACCCAAAAATATTCCATGATTTGTCATTTGCCGGCAACACTCTTTATAAACCATCAGTATTTGGCGAAAATTATATTCACTTCTTTTGTATCAGTGGTTGTGTTTGTAAAGACCTTAATTTTAAGCAGGGAAGTAAAAGAGTTTTGTGTTGTTGAAGTTTCAGTTCCGAGATCCGAAATTTCTGGGTTTCACCTCGACTAATCTTTTACAAATATAAAATTCATTTAGCAAGTTGTTTCAATAAAAAAAAGTTAATTTGCACTTTTACCTAAAAACTAAATGATTATTACTTGACATAAAATAGTTATTTGTGTAACTAGTGATGAAAGTGGCACTTTGCTGCACACGAGAGCAATGTTTACGCACAAGCCGCAGGCGAGTGCGGAATGATCTCGAGTGCAGCAAAGGCCTTTTTCACTTGTGTTACACATTATATTTTTCCTTCAGTCACTATAAAGTATATAAATAATTAGTCTTTCAAACACTATCCAACACGTTTTTAGGTTCAGCTGGCAACACAAATAGGTGCCCTAGAGAAAGTAGTACGCGCGGTCCGTATCACTCCGCTATTTTTCCTCGGCAAGAAATGTGCTCCGCGTTTTAAGAATATAATATAGTTCCGTATGTTTTTGTAATTTGAAGTGGTTTCCGCGCCTAAAAAAACGCTTTAAATGTATTTTCTTGTTTATTAAGATCGTAGGAATGTTTTAAAAACGTTTAAAATAAAAGTCCAGGAAGTTCAGAAATACCGAAACTATAAACACGAAATGACAGGTTAAATCGTAGTTATAATAGTCAATCAGCTGCTCATAGTATTATTATCTTTAAGTGTTGCCAACCTATTTCCAAGCGTACACGGATTACGTGCATAATAGAACCACGCTGTTTTGTGTTGTTTCGTTGGAATCCTGATGTGCGGCAAAGTATAAACCGTACGGCAAAGTATAAATATGCAGCAATTAGCAGCTTTCTGTACTATAAACAGTACAAGGAAGCCAACTTTGTCGGGTGACTGTAGGAAAAATCTTTTTCATAAAATCTTATTTTGGAGACCTATTAATTCTATTGTAACAGTTACTATCACATGCTTGCTTTCAGGTTGAGAAGTTTGTGGATCGCAAACTAGACAAAGCCGAGTCATTGCTGAAGAAGAAGGAAAGGAAAGCAAAAATGTGGTTCAACAAAGTAACAAATAACGAGGACGACATTGTTTTCCACGAGATCCACGTGTTTATGGCTTCTTTCTTCGCTGGAATTGCAATGGGAATTGTTTTTGGAAAAATACTGTAAAGAAAGCACATGATAAACAAAGCTTTCTTATAAAGCATCCACTTTGATTAGTAACACGAGATGTACTTAATACTTGTAAATACCAAATGTTAACATGTAATTTAAACCAAACTATCCTGTTACTATGCTCGCAATTCAACTTGTATACCTTATTGATATTTTTTAGCTTATTATTTATAACCTTTTATTATACTCTTGTAATTTTCAGTATTGTTTTGATTAAATAAAAATGCTTAGACACAATCATTATGATTCCCGTTGTAGTTGAACTAAAACTACAACTACTTACGCTAAAATGTTACTTCATTATAATGAATTTTAGCCTCGTACTCGAATTTCACATTTAAATAGGCCTACTATAAATTGGTTTAAATACCTGCATTTATGCGATCCTGTTTGTAGCTGAGTTGCTACCGGTTTCAACTCACATAGGAGTCATCTTCAGGCTGTTAAAGATGTCTCTCGCTTCATTTGATGGTCGTAAATTGATAATAAATAAATAAACAAAACACAAATACATACATCCTACTAATATTATAAATGAGAAAGTTTGGATGTATGGATGTATGGATGTATGGATGTATGTTTGTGACAAGTGAACGCGAAAAATACTGGTCGGATTGGGCTGAAATTTGGCATGATGATAGCTCACATTCCCGATTAACATATAGGCATATTCTTATTTCAAAAATCCTTTCGGGCTCCGCCCCAGTGGCTCTGGAGTTTCCCATGTTAACCTTATGAGAAATGAAATTATTGAATCTTAACAGCTGTTTCAATTAAACAAGTTGGTTCTGTTCTGTGATGTTCAATAACATTAAAGTTACAAAAATTACCAACAGGGTGCAGCACTATTATTTCTTTTACATTTATGACAACAGCTAATTTTCAACCAAAAGGTGAGTGAGCGTAGCGAACGAACTTCAACCTGGAGGCGAGTTAGCGTAGCGAACGACCTAACCTGAAGGCAAGTGAGCGCAGCGAACGAGCTCCAACCCAAAGGTGAGTGAGCGTAGCGAACGAGCTCCAACCTAAAGGTGAGTGAGCGTAGCGAACGAGCTCCAACCTAAAGGTGAGTAAGCGTAGCGAACAAACTTCAACCAGGACGTGATTGAGCCATGCGAACGAGATAATCTTGAAAATTAAGAAGTTAAACGGGGCAAAGCCCGCGGGTTACAGCTAGTAAGTACATAAATAGTATTCTTTAGGGCTAAAAAATACTGAAACGGTAGGCATACGGGACACAACGTGATCAAGAGAGAGTTATGTCTAGACTCCCGCCATAAAATTTTTGCTACAACTTATTATAACACTAAAATTTACACTACAACTATTTACGTTTTAAATTTTAATCTAACATAGTAAATAGTACCAGTAAATATGACAAAACATGCTATTTTGGTTGAAAAATATAGGCAGTGAAACAAAAGGAAATAAATAGCAAGTGCCCACGTAATCCTGTAATAGCAGGTCTTGTTGTATGACTAGTAAGACCGGGAAGTAGGTGTTAAAGTACAAGCAATTATCAAATTATCAATCTTTGAGATGGGAATACCACCAGGGATGCATATTTTAACTCAAATATGTGTGAAAGATAATTCCAAGTGTCATGGTGTAGTTAGTAAAAAATACGACCTAACTACAACATTCAAAGTGATTGATAAAAGCTAACTTTCAACGAACACAACTACTTTCAAGAAACAAAAGTAAACTGTGTACACAAAAATGTATGATATGTACCCTCTTTGGTTTAACATAAGCAGCTGTGTAGCAAAAAAAATAAAAATAAATTATCAAAATGTAAAAATGTTACGATAAAGTGCAAGTTTAAGAAGTTATTTGATGATGAAGTTAAGTGATTTGAAGTTAAGTGATGTTATTTTGCCAATATCATCACAACACTAAAACATTGGTTCCAAGCAAGATCGTTTCTGGAACCGATCCAGGTGCCATTTGTCATTAGGGTACCGAATTAATGATTAACAAAAGGTTGATGTCAGTTGGTAACAAAATTAGGGTTTGGACTGTTCTTTTATAAAAAACACCAATGGCATGAATAAAATTAACTTTAATTTTAAATTTTACTTGCAATTTAAGGTATTAAATGGGTACATAGGACTAAAAATAAATCTTACATAAACAAAACTTTGTTAGCAGGCAATAAAATACATGACAGGTCAGCCTCCGGAACATCAGAATCAACAAATGTCAATGTTCCCTGTGTGGTTTACAGGTAACATCGACAGGACGAACTGTTATTGTGTTAATCAACAACATCCGTTTTTTTCAGCAGAAAATGGGGCATTTTCTCTGGCCAGAATGTCAAGCTATTTAAACATCCCTAATGTAATAGTATATTACGTTACTAGCCCTGAAAATAGGTGTTTACCGGACGAGTGACGTACAATATTTAACTCCATACTACTAAATCCGTACCAATCCTTATATATTACCACATACTTAAGGACTAACAATCACTAGTCATAACCTCTAAGAGAGGTTATTTTTTTGTTTATAAACTAACCACTCTCACTCATTGCCAAATACAGTATATAATCAGCTGATTGGTGTCCGGTAAAACTCATTACAGTAGAGTAGTACGTAATGAAACCCTATTTGATTAAGCTGACGGCAAACAGCTGTTTTCTAGACTAAATCCTTCCTTGGGAAGCTCGTCAAAACAGTGTAGTGTGGCGTAAAAGCTTAAACCTTCTACTAAAATGAATACTTCCTAAAATGAAAATCCTTATCTAAAATAAAGTCTGTTACTTCTTTATGCTTATGTGTTGGCAAGCTTTGACCCTTTTCAAAACGTTATAACAAAAACAATAAAAAATAGTAGTTTACGCAACGATTGCGTTAAGTGAGTCTTTACGACACAAGTAGAAAATTTAAGGCACGAGCCTTGGCGAGTGCCTTAAAAACTTCTACGAGTGTCGTAAAGACTATTAACGCGAGTTGCGTACACTACTTTACCTACGACCGTTTTTTAATTACTATCAATCTGGATTTAATTACTAACAATCACTAATGATAACTTTTTAGAGAGGTTATGTTTTCGTGTATTGTCATTGCCACTGAAAGTGATGCAACGACTTGTTGTATAATCAGCTGATTTCCTGTAATTACGTATTTGTTAAACTTCGTTAAATATTACATTGCTAGCAGAATTCTTACCATAAATAATATTGTATCAGGTACAATTCGGCAAATATTTCATTTATTTTTGGACTTCCACCAACTTAATTAAGAATACGCGAGTATCAACATGAACAAGTCGGATCAACAATTAAATTGGTCAACTGATCAGCTGATTAGTTGACGTTCGAAGCATTACAATTTTAATTCTTTTCTCTCAATACTTGAACCTCATTGGTCCGTTACCTGTGTGGATATGAGAAAACTATGCGGATATGAAATGAAACTATGCGGATATGAAAGTAAACAGCTGTAAAGTGAAACTTTTCAATTCTAAGAACTGGACTGAAATGGCTACTTTAAAAAACGGTCGTAGGTAAATTTTTTTACACAATTCATTTACACTCAAAAATATTATTCAACTTTAAATAATATTGCGTACTGTATCAGTCACACTCACAGTAGACAAAAGGAAAATAAAATGTTTTCAATTACTGACAAAGGTATTTATTGAATTATATTATACGAAGAAATACTTAGGTATAAAGTTAACACAGAGAGTACAGCTAGATACTTATGATGCCCCGGCTTCTAGTTCTGACGCCGGAGTCTCAGGTTCTTCGTCGTTGTAGATGTTCTCAGCCATTTGCCAAACCTGGAAGAACATCATGTTAGTTCGGGTAGCACCCAACTAGAGATCAAATCTAGAGATATTCTACAGTAGTGAGCAACGAGCAGACTTACTTGTTAGGTATCAAGTCAACTCGATACTTATCCTAAGTACTCGTGTACTGGACTCAGCTGTTAGTTTATCAATCAGTCGCTAGGAACTTCTTTTTTCAGCAGTTACATGTTTGTTTAAGTATTTGGGGGTAATTTTCAGAATTTCTACAACTAGCCAACAACACTAAATGCCGAGTACATATGGACTCAAGTTTGAACTATTCTGTGCGTCACCACTATGAGTAAAAAGTGGTATATGCCGAGTAGGTAAGGACATAAGTTAAGTCAGAATTGTTTTCTAAGTTACTAGGAGTTAAAAACGCTGCTACAGGAGTAGAGTATTGTACCATTACCAAAGGATAGTTAAGTAGGCATTCCATTTATTTGCACCAGCTGTCGTCAAATTTTCATCAATAAAGAACATAGTTCTGTGAGTCAGTCACAGAATGTGCTAGTGTCTAAAATTATATTGTTTACCTTATTTATTTGTTGCTGACCAATTTGATAGGGCCAGTTGCTATAGTTGGTCTTTCCATCAATATGACTTGGTAAAACAGTTTGTGTATTCAACAAAAATCACTAATTCACATCAGCACAATCTGTTTGGTGGCTTACATAAACTACAATTTTGATAAAAAAAACTAAAAAAAAAAACTGGTGACACCTTTAACATGGGGATGGATTGTCTAGTTTTATCAGTAGTCAAAGATTGCACTGACTTGAGTACAATCAGTATTAAGTACATTTTAGAGTAAATACTCGATTGTCCACATCACTATTAATATGCTTAAATTGCACATGCAGTACGTGGGATGTATATGCAAGAGATTAAGGCCCGATTTCACCAAATTCACGATAACGATGGTTTAGTTAATCTTCCGTTAAAACTACCTGATGATTTCCACCACAGTTAAGGAAATCTGGCTTCACCAACGAAAACGCGTCAATACTAACGCTGGTTTTATAAACGAGAGTTTAGAGTAAAATCCAGGTGGCGGTGGGCTTAAACTGTCATGATACCAGGCTGTAAAGGGAGCAATAAATAAACATAACCTAGAAAATAAATCAGGGTTTATGACGTAGTAAAAACAAAACTGGAGGGAGCAAGATTACAAGTATACAATAGATTCTGAGTAACAAGAACAAAATAACAACAGAAAACATGAACGAATAGCTAAACAATTAACATGAGTAAATAAAGGCAAAGCAATATTGATAAAACAGATTCAATTTAGGAACAGACGATTGAGTTGTGCTGTTGAGTCAAGACTCAAAATCAAACTTTTTACGGTACATTTGAAATAGTGAGAAAACTTGAGGCAAAAAGAGTAACTAGAACGAGTCATAATAAAGATATCATAAAAATAATTATTTTCTGTAAATACTAGGACAATTTAGGTTTAGTTATTGTCCTTAATTACGTCTGACTGAACTAAATTAATTGTTTGACTGTAGGGTAAGGGTTACTCAAAACCGGGAAAAGGAAAAGGGAGCCTATTTTTTCGAGCAAAGAAAAAAAGGAATTTGATAATGTAGGTAGAAAAACACTTTTTTCAGCCGGGATAAAAGAATGGCTGATCACATACCTAAAGAAATACATCTTTACTAAAAAACCTTGTGGGATAACCTAAAGAAAAAGGCAACACGTTTTGATAATTCATATCTAGTAATAAAATTAATTTTGTCTTAGTTAAATCATTAACAAATTGGGTCAAAATTGGGCAGTTAATTATCTAACGACGGTTTAGTCTAAACTAGCTCTAATGGAAAGTGGTGAAATCCGATTTCGTCAGTTAAGAGCTAACTGCAGTTAGAGCAAGGCTCAACGGCAGTTTAAGTGTTTGGTGAAATCGGGCCTAAGTTACCTTTATTCTGTCCAAGTAATCCTAAAAGAGTACTGTGGTGAAATCCGATTTCGTCAGTTAAGAGCTAACTGCAGTTAGAGCAAGGCTTAACGGCAGTTTAAGTGTTTGGTGAAATCGGGCTTAAGTTACCTTTATTCTGTCCAAGTAATCCTAAAAGAGTACTGTGGTGAAATCAGATTTCGTCAGTTAAGAGCTAACTGCAGTTAGAGCAAGGCTTAACGACAGTTTAAGTGTTTGGTGAAATTGGACTTAAGTTACCTTTATTCTGACCAAGTAATCTTAAAAGAGTACCTAATTTCCAATAACAAACAACAACCATCATTATTGCACTACAGCCATAAAATTGATATATTAGCAAAACCGTACCTGCATGATGTTATCTTCGGATACGGAGCAGATGACCCAAGGTTCGTTAGGATTCCAGGAGAAATCTGAGATCTTGGCTGTGTGTCCACCGTGGATGAACTGAAACACAAGCAAAACCAATGAGTCACAAGGGGAGATGGCTCACTAATAAAATACGGTATACTGGTATACTTTAGGAATTTCATAGTGGATGGGTTTAACAATTAACAGCATGATTACTGATGAAAAAAAAATAAGTACAATTCACAAATATACAGTAAGTATAGAATTTTCAGAGCTAAATTGCTCCTTCAGTAGTAGAGACTATGTCCTTTTTGTACGATGTTTTCTAATACTTGTGTTACTAGTAGCTCCAAAAATATTTACGTGCCTATTTGAGTTTATGCTCTTTCATGTAATTTTTTTGTTAGTAAGGTAAGTCTGCTATTAAACCTATCAACCAAAGAATCCTTAAAACCAGGCCAATGGTGCAATGGTAACATGAAGGCCAGATTAGAGGCTCTGAGAAAAATATTTGATGTATCAGTATGTAACTCCTAATAAGCAGTGCTGGATTCACCACAAGGCCGCAAGCATAAGGGGGCAAAGGATTGACAATACACTTTTTTTGTTTCAGAGCAAAAAAAAAAATTTTTTTTATTAAAAATTATTATGTTAAATTATAAAAAGATAGGGCATTTGCCAGGAATTATTAAGGAAATTGACAGGAAAGCAGGCTTACCTTTAAATAAGTCCATAGAGACACATAAAACATCACAAAATTAAAAGTAGAAATTTTCGTGGTCACTGACCACTTTTTCAACCACTGGAGATTGGAGAAGCCATTTCTCCAATCTCCAGTGGTTGAAAAAGTGGTCAGTGACCACGAAAATTTCTACTTTTAATTTTGTGATGTTTTATGTGTCTCTATGGACTTATTTAAAGGTAAGCCTGCTTTCCTGTCAATTTCCTAAATTATGTTAAATTATTATTTTATTAAATTATTATTTTTTTTCATCAATTTGCTGCGATTGGGGGTGACGATGATGATGTCCTCATGATCACGGCCTACGGGAGATGTTCATGACTTTGCCGCTATCGTAGGTGTCGATGGTGATGTCCTCATGACTGCGGTCCACGGGAGATGTTCACGATTTTTTACCGCAATTGCGGGAAATTTCACCCACAGGGGTGGGGGCCACTTAAGTAATTTAGCCTAGGGCCGGAGGGACCCTAACTCCTGCACGGATGATAAGATGTTTGTATTTGAACAATATTTATGCTAAACTAGAAAGGAGAGACATCTGAATACAATTACCTAAGACGATTATCCCTTTATTCTCTAGTATCAATCTAAGAGTTTAAGCAAAAAAGATTAAAATAATCTGATTTCGTTTCAGACCTCTGGTCAGACTGCAGTTTTCTTCCTTCGTCTCAAACCACTCTTATCGTACTTTGAATTGTAGAATCATGTCTTTTATGCTCTGAATTAAGTTTTTCATTCATTGTTTTTAAATCCTTAAATTTTGTTTTTAGTTCCTTCAGATCTTCTTTTGTTACTGTAATCCACTTGATGTTGGGTTTGCTGTTCCATAACTTTTCTATGATCTTACACTTATCCTGGATATTATTGGAGGCCTTATAACTGTTTAAAGAATGACATTCTTTTCTTTCTAATTGTGTAGCCTCCATACTGGTGGTATTTATCTAAAGACCGTTTTATTTGATGCCAATCTGCAGTGTCCGTTTGCTTAGTAGTTTTTATTTATACTCTTTTACAGCTACATTGTAAAAATAATTTCTAATAGAGCCTTGAACTCACCAGTAGCTCGGGTGGGCCGTCCTCTGCGTCCTCCGCAGATTGTTCCTCTCCGATCTTGCTGAGATCCCACACATGTAGTCTGCGGTCCGTGCCACTGGACGCAAGGATCGTCTCGTTATGCGGAGACCATTGGACCTGCCAAACACAAAAGTATCATGTAAAATCACATCCTAAATAACATATTGATAAGAACTATTCTGGAAAATAAGAGTTAAATTTGTTAATAAATCTAAATCATTTTTGCTAAATATGTTGGAAGACGTCCATTATTTTTTCTAAATACAATCTTTACTCATGTAAATAATGCAATATTTTCATTCATAGGCTATATATATTTCACTCTAAAATAAAAAATATTATTAATTGACAAGAGGCTCATTGAACTATCATATTTTTTTATGCCAAAATATGAAACCAGCTAATTATTTAAACAAAATTATACCGCGCCGAAACAACCTGGTTCAAATCCAAGCAAGATGGTTTCCGGACCTAGGTCCCATTTGTCATTAGGCTATGATATTAATGATGCTAGGTCGACTTTATACGATAGTAACAAGACCAGGGTTTGGACTGTTCCCTTTCAAAATGTAAAAATGCCATTGGCGTAGAAAACACACAAACTTAAAATGTTAACGTCAACTGCTAGACTTTGACATTAAACATTCCTGACCAGATAAAAAATCTTTTAAACAAATGGTGGTAAAAGGTGTACAACCTTTAATAGGCCTAGATGATTTGTTTTGAAATCAACTAAAGTTGGACTAAACTGAATATTTCCTCACAAACTGCAATCCAAATGATTTGATTCTTTTCAGTAACTTTAATTAATTTCTGGTACTGTTCACGTAAAATAAAAATGTTTTAAACGATTTATATGTGACATGACAAAGACCTACAATATGGTGGACATTACATACCTGAAATATTTCATCCTTGTGCGATTCAAAGGAATGTAGCTTAAGTTTCAGATTTCGGAGATCCCAAAGGGCAACAGTCTGTAACAAAATCAAGAAACATTAACCTTTAAAATTAGGTGGTATCAGAACATGGCTGAAATAGCAATTTACAAAAGGAAGAGGATGAATTTATAAAATCTTGTAATGGGTTCTACAGCCAATCTGTTGGGGGGGATTACATTGCGGATTAACTAAATATCCAGAAAATATCTTAATTATCTTCTGAATAAGGTTTTTCTAGAATATCTTTAGACTATAACATCTCCAAAACATCTTCCTTAGTCAAAAATATTAATTTGAATCAACTTTGAAAACAAGTGTTATTTGATCATCCCCAAGAGAGACTTGTTATCAAATTCTACTGTATCTGGTGTAGAAGATAATAGTAATTAACAAAAAATAGCCCCAGATCTGCAGAATATTGGCCAGTAGAGTAATGGGAGTAAAATAAAAAAAAACCTGCAATCAAATTATAATAACCGTCTGAAACGTATTAGACAAGGAAGTAATAGGTGAAAAAATCATAATAGGCCTATTATTTCACCTAGTACTGAAAAGCTAATGAATCTTCCTGACTGTTATTGTTAAGAGTCCTTGGAGGCTGGTGGCCATCATGGGTAATTTCAAAAACAGCTGCTGAAGAGTTATTGATCTTCCAAAAATATTTTTCAAATCTTAAAGGGATTATAATTTAAATATCTAGTAAACTGTGACATTGGCAATGTTCTTTGTAGTTTTGGATTGTTCTTCAAGGGAGTCCATGGAATTGTCCATTAATTTTGTTGATTTCAAACAGCCACTGAAGAGTTATTTACCATCTCCAAATATTTTTTCAAACACCAGAGTGATCGTAATTTTAATATCTAGTAAAAAAAAAATGAGATTATAAAGTTTCTTTGTAATTTTTTAATTGTTTTTTGAGGTAAAACGTCAAGGCTCCAAGGACTCTTAAGTAATGTTAGTTCTACTTCATGGTAGTGAGTCTATAGTCTATAGCCCTACCTTATCAGCGCTGCCAGTGGCAAGTATGAACTCAGAGTAGGGGTTGAATGAGAGGCAGTTGACCTCCGCTGTGTGGGCATCTACAGTGTGAGATGGCTTGCTGGTGTTGTTACTTCTCGTGTCCCAGATCATCAGCTTCTGGTCGTCTGCCACGGAGCCAAACAGCGACTCGTGCAGCAGGTGCCAAGCTACGTCCTGGCAACATCACAGTGAAGGAATAAACTATATTATCAAACAGCTGACCTATAGTATCAAGTACAGTAATATCTTGTGGTATTTTTTTAACCCTCAAAAATGTCAATGTTGGACCCCTGTAACATGACAACACCACGTTTAGTAGCACTTTACAAAAACTTTCATGAAAGATATTTTGTTTGAATTATGTCATAATTATGTTTTTCTTATTCTACATGATGTGAACATTTACTAGAAAATGGTACAGTTGAAGCACTTATCATAACTTGAAAAAGAGTTCTCAAACACACAAAATAAAAATCTTTTATTTAGCCTATTTTAAAGTTTGCCTCCCTAAAAATAGAAAAATATCCACATTTTAGATTCAAATTGAGTTAGTCTGAAAAGTTTCTGTAATTGCTGCATACTGTAAAAAAAATAGACGCGCAACACTCAGTGATCAGAAATGGGAGTAAAAAAATCAACGATTAAACTTGGAGGATTAAATCTATAGTTTTTAGAACCAAACACAACATTTTTTTTTCAAATCAGCTACGAGCATTAGACATTCCACTCCCATGTTGAAGTTGTCACCAGTTTTTTAATCAAAATTGTCGTAGTTGATGTGAGCCACCGACAGATTACGCTGATCTAAATCACAAATTTCTGACAAATACACAGACTTTATAGCAAAGTCAAACTAATGGAATTACTTATGGTGAGGTATAGCAACCGTTATAACCCATCCGCTTACTCAGCAACAATAAATAAGGTAGGAAATATAATCTTAGACCCTATCGCATTCTATAACTCTTTCACATAACTATGTTCTTTTTTAATAAAAAATTTGCGACAGCTGTTCAACATAGATGTCTACTACAGTATCCAATAGTCAATGCTAGTATTGAACCAGTTAATCAGTAGGCCTACATACAACTAGGGCATAACCATTTCCTTAACAGCTATTTTCTGATACTGCAAAGAATATATTTATAAAGCTTTAATTGTTATAGGTCTATACTTACTTCAACAACAGCGGTGTGGCCTGTGAAGATAGTTTTAGCGTCAATGATGCGGTTCTCTTTAGGCGTGGCATTAATGTCCCACAGACAAATTGTGTGATCATCTGATGCACTCAACAGGTAGCCGTTGAGGTTTGGGTTCCACGACAGTCCATAGCCTTCTTTCTGGTGACCTCGCAATCTACAAATCATTGATATAAGAACCTTTGGCAGTCATATTATGTTTCAAAATAATTGAATTCCATCAAGAAATAGCAATAATTCCCAGGAGTCAAACATCCGCACAAAGTACGGATGGGAATAAAATATGTAATCACAATATTCATTTTTACAGTTATTCTGGACGGTCATTATTTCACTTCTTTCCATAAGGCATAACAGTAACAAATAGTAATATGCAATTTATTTTTAAGAAAAATTCTATTTTGTTTAGAGTTAATAAAACTTAAGTTAAATTCACATTTAATAACTAAAAAGTAATGACTCTTTCTATCGAATGTTTGTACGTTTATATGACATGCTATATTATGTTTACATTTAAGAACTCTTGACAACTAAGTCCGCATTACCTCAGATCTGGGTGACACTCTCCGCTGGGATCGGGTTTACTCGGGTGTTTGGTGTAGTCGAACACTAGCACATCACTGCTAGGGGTTTTGGTGGCAATGACACATGGGTTCTGAGGCATGTAGCGGGCACGATTGACTTCTCCTTCATGGTTGATCTTAATCTCAATTTCAATCTTTCCGCTCACTGATCCGAATCCACCAAACTCTGAAAGCAATTGTGAAGATTTAGGCCACAGCTTTGGCAAACAATTACAATTAGGTACTGCAGGTTGATCTATTGGTCTAGCTAATTATAGGTTTAAATAGTTCATCAAATTTAAATATCAGGTGAAATTTAGGCTTGTTCACAGATACATGAAAACAAGGGAACCTAACAGATTAGACTGATGCTTAAAGATGGCAGAGACGACAGCCAGTAGTCCCTCTAGATTATAATATATCCTACTAATATTATAGCCTAATTGGGAAAGTTTTGATGTATGGATGGATGTTTGTGACAAGTAAACACAAAAAATACTGGTCGGATTGGGCTGAAATTTGGTGCGATGATAGCTCACATTCCCCATTAACATATAGACACATTCTTATCTCAAAAATCCTTTCGGGCTCCGCCCAAGTGGCTCTGGAGTTTCCCATGTTAACCTTATGAGTTATTCATATTTAAGAGGAATTTAAAACAATTTTTTCAGCTGTTTCAACTAGCCTACACAAGTTGGTTCTATAATATTAAATAGCATTAAAAAGTTATCAGGTTTACCAACAGGGTGCAGCACTAATAAATTTTTTGCATTTATGACTACATCTAATTTGAACCAACTAGCACCTAAAAGTAATTGAATTGTATTGTGAAAGTGTTGGAAAAGCCCACACAAATAAATAAAACAGTGGAATAAGACGGCAAAAATCCATGTACAAGAAGTATGTGAGATCAAGCACGGCCGCCTTTAACTCCAGGCCGTGGCCATTCGAAGTGGCAACGTCGCAAGTAGGGATGTAACAGCCGTTTTGTTTGGAAGCAGCTATTGGTATTAGTGTATTTACGAAAGCTTGGTTAATGGACTATGAAAATATTGACTACGCTTTAAATGTACGGATATAGATTTTCAATTCATATTGTTTAGGTTTTGAATTCTATTTGTTTAATTTTCAATATTTTAATAAATGTAAGTTCATAAATTTAAATTTTTATCAACAAAGTGCGAATTAATGAGCTGATGTCAGCTGTCTGCCACGTTATCCTTATGTATAATACGTGAAGGCGATTTCTACCAAACACTACTCCTCCATTAATAATGAACGGATTTTTACAAACGATGTGTGAAAATTAAGAATTTTTTGTTTAAATCCCCCCTTTTACCAATTCCTGTAATGAAAGTCCTCGGGCTTTGCCCCACAGGTGATCAAAACCCCAATGTATTAGGCCTACTTATGTAGAAAATATTTTGTTTACTTAAACAGACGAATCATTTGTATTAATTGCATACTAAAGCAGCTGTTCATAGTAAACACATGATACACACAAGAGCGTTAGTTTTCAGAGTGAGTTCGTTTTCAGTTTCGATAACTGGAGTGGAGTGATTGATTACATTATCTTTGAGTTGACTGTATTAAGTCATCGGAAAATATGACTGTTATTCGTTTAAAAAAAAGGCCCGTAATACTTTGCAATTGCTCGAATTCAAGCAAGAGGTGCACCAGTCTTATGGGACATCTGACACTAAACAATCCTACTTGTGACGTTGCTAATTCTAGGTGGTCGTGGATCAAGTATTAGAGACTTAATTAGGCCTATAGGCCTATTACAAATAATTCTGCTATTCCAAAAGGTGTACCGTAGCCTAAATGTTCGAAATGGCCATTCAAAAAGTAACTAAATTTCATACAATGGCAACAAACTAATACACATTCTTCAGTCAAATAGCTGTACACGCCTACCTCCTTTCTCGTTGTCGTAGTGAGAAGCATCAAACTGTGCGTCTTCATTGGGCAGCTGCACACTAGCTATCAACAGATGGTTCTGCTCATCTGATGTGTGAGTTCCGAGAATCAGTCTGTGCACGGAATAGTCCTTGCCCTCGGGTCTGAAACAAACATTATATCAGTCAGCATACAGAAAAAAACAACATGGTATTACTAAGCCTAAACATGTTTTAGTAATAAACAGGTGTTTTAGTACTGATATTACAAACTATCCTAATAGGCTATGTGCAGCTGTTAACGTTATTTAAGGTTAGGCCTATGCCATTTATTCACTATCATAATTAATCTAGGCCTACAATTTAGCTCTTAAAGTTTTTACAGAGGTACTGCTACAAAGCATCTGTTAAAGGTACCGGTAACTGCGTCTATAAATCCTGCTAATAATGAATATTCATAAAGTGTTTTGACTGGAAAAAATAATTGTTTAATAAGGATAATTGAAGAGCTAATGTCCTCTTACCTCGTCACATCAGGTAGCCATTGCGCTGTAAGTGAAGGCCACTCAAGAGCATGTGTCATCACTAGATCATACAAGAAAGGTGTGTTCTTCTTCCATATCTTGTATTCCTCATTTATCACCCTTTCTTCAACTGCATCATCGAAGGTTTCTAAAACAAGAAGCAAGCCTCTGGATAGTGTTAAATATTCATCGATTTCATTACATTGTACCTTTAAGACGAAGTTGTGGGATTTCAAACTCCCATTTTTGAATTAGCCTAGTTGAAACTTGTTGACAATCCTTCTAAATCAAGGCAACATGATTTTCAGCATTAACTTTCTGATTTTTCTCGCTCCACATTTGTAGCCTATCTTGAACTTAAAGCCTGAGACGCCAATTACAACTTGAGTTAGCCTAACTTACATTCCTGCAGAATACCGATAAGTAATATACCTATCACTTATCGGTATGCCTCTATACCTGTATTCTTTTCGGTACTTTCCTGTTCATTCATTATTATCGATGATTTTTTCGATAAATACATTGAAATTTTACTTTATCATCCGCAATATCTATATTAACAACTTACATCTAACTTATATCTACAAGCTAACTTAACTTAAATTAAGTGTGTGAACATAGGCCCAATTAACTCTTAATAAGTTAGGCCTAGCCCAATACCTGCGATAGCGGATAATCCAACACTAAGATCTATCAGACGACATATAAGTAGGCCTAAGTAAAGTTCAGTGCTGGAATTTAATACAAGTTGTTAGTAACTTAGAAGTCTCACTTTTGTGGTTGCAATTCCCAGACTGGTTCTACGATCGTAACAAATGAAGGGGTCACCTAAGTTGTAGCTTATCGTACCGCACGCTGAGTTAACTACTCTTTTTAAAAGGAATTATTCATCATGAATACCAAATAATTTGTTGTGTTTAAAACTAACTTAGGCCTAGGCCTACCTAACTTAGGCCTATCAAAAAAGAAAGTGACAGATAGGCCTACATTTATGAAAGAAATAAAAAAAAAAAAACAATCACAGACATTTAAACGAGGCCTAAGGCTGCAAAACTGATTTTACTAACTTAGGTCTAAGTTACTTTGGTGATAATAAACTACAAGTACGAGCGTGAACCCGCAGATGTGCCAAGAGTTGTATGGCCTTACTGTATTATTCGTTCGTCAAAAGGGGTTTTTGTGTTTATTTTTGTTATTTATTGGTTTTGTTTGTGTTTTGAAGATTGACGACTTCATAGGATCGACAACCACGTCTAGGCTTGACAACGACACCATCTTAAGTGTCGAAACAGGTAGCCATTGAGATTACCAAGGAATATGTTGGCAACAAGGTATTTCACCTCTAGAATAGCAACACTATGTGCAATAGACTGATTAGGCATGGGCTAAGTTACTGAAATCAATGTCAGAGTTTAAGTTAGTTGTAAAGGGTTGTCTTTGAGATGAAATTACCACAGTTTCAGTAGTATTGAGAACAGTATGAACTAGGTTTACCAAGGAGAACAAATACGTAAGGCCTAGTAACTTGCAATCATTCTATTAAGTTAGGCCTAATCAAAATAAAGTCAACTCTAAAGAGTAAAATCACTTGCATCTTCAGCGTTGGAGATAGGCCTAATATGAACTGAAGACATGAGGAATTAACACAACTTAAGCTAAGTATGCAACTATTTACCTCCGTCTTTGTCGCCCATGTTCACAGATGTAACAGCGTCTTCAATAAATAAGGAGGAGTATTACAAATCAAGTAATTGGACAAGGAGAACTTCAAAACATTACCGGGCATGAAAACGACGGACAGACGGTAAAATGGCGGTAGCGAAGCAGTCGGCTTTCTTTTGGTGGTTCTTCTTCTTCTTTATTTGGCGGCAGAAGCTTTTTGTATTTTGCTGAGTGCTAGTGTGGTGGTGAGTACCGGAAGTTTTAAAAGAGACTACACAGCATTGTGTGTGATGTTTATGATCGGTGATTGTGATGTATGTTAGACGGTTAGACCAAGGCGCTAGTAGACGCACTGTATGAAAGCAATGACAAAGTAGGGTGGTGTTATTATCCTCTTATGATGGGGGTGTTTAAGACGGGTATCAACCCCAGAGTCCTGGGAAACGGTTCGTAAACCTAAAAGCTTCAACAATCACCCTTAATATTTTATTGCCTAGAGTTAAGGTCCGTACACACAGATGCGGGAACGGGATCAATTTTAACTCCGAGTATTTCCCGTGAGGGCAGCGAGTACCTTGGCTTTGGTGGGATACGAGACGACCTTGGTGGTGGCAGCAGGGTGGGTATGAGGCATGAACCACGAACTGGAAAACTACGGTGCGGACTTCCGCTCAACCGCTCTTCCCGCAGCAGCAGCAGCATGCAGCGTTTGCAGCGCTTTCCGTGCCCCTATTGCTGAATTAAACTAAACTTCGTTTCGCCCAATAACACAAAGTCGTGCCTTGGACATTTTCTTGAATCTGTATTTGTATATACAAATCCTGAGTTGTATGACCTAATCACAAAGACTTGAGGAATATTAGAAAGAAAAGAAGGACTAGATTTGACAAGATATCGGGAAGACACTTAATACACCTATATTCTTGAGTCATTCTAAATAATATGTAAATCCTGTTAACACCATTTCGCAACTGCGGCTTGAGAGATGGGTACTCCCTAAATTCCAGCCTTCCTTTATTCAACGCTAGAGATTATGTATGTGTCAGAAGGAGCTTTTTAAAAAGATGTTGGTGGCCTCTTTTAACCTTGCATTTGCCTGTCCACATAGACTACAGATCTTTGCGTGGAACGTGTATCATAGCCACCTTTAACCCCAGACAGTGGCCTAGTAGAACTGGCAACGTCACAAGTTGTGTTGTTTAGTGACAGACGTTCCTTAAGATAACAAGGCAGACAGTGGTGACACCAGCTCAATGACTTGAGTCAAGTTTTGTGGTAGACTTTTGTTAGTTTGTATCATATAACTTTCCATGGCATCGTCTGATGATAGGTCTTGATTTTGCTAGCTTCAGCAGAATATGATCATACAAATAAGCTGAAAACGCCATAGGTAATTATGTTAAAGGTGGCCGTGATACACGTTCCACGCATAGATCTGTGTAGTCTATGTGGACAGGCAAATGCAAGGTTAAAAGAGGCCTCCAACCTATTTTTAAAAGGCTCATTCTGACACATACAGAGTTAATCTATAGATAGATTTTCCTATTAGCGAATTTCCCTATAGGGAAGTAGCTATTACCGTAGGTCTCATGGTAAGACCTAGGCCCGGGACCGATTTACTTTTTCATTTTGATGTCCCCAGTGGCCAAAAACACCATTCGTTCAAATTTTTATATATCTATATCTATATATATATATATATATGTGTGTGTCCATCCGCACGATAACTTGAGTAATTTTTGTCCGATTTTGATAAAATTTGGTTTGAAGGTCTAAGGCGGGATAAACTCGAACGATTTCGCGAACCAGCATGATCGGACTATGGGAACGGGGGTTTACGGGGATTTTTATGGGGTAAAAATAGGTTTTTCCCATTTTTGACCCCAAAAAAATAAAATTTTGCAAAATCTTTTCAAACCATTTTGTAGAGCTTAAAAAAACAAATAATTTAGTATATTGAAGTGTTACTATGCGCCTAATGGTTACGGAGAAAATTCCAAAAAAATGTAAATTTTAAATTCCCATGTTATTCTTATGGAGAATGAGTAAACTGTTGTAGTTTGCTTGTTTATGAACATATTTTGATCAAATTTGGAAAATGTTTTTATTTCTTACTAACTATTAACATTTTACAAAAAAAAGTTTTACCCTCCCTGATGTAGCAAACCTAAGTACCTGTTAAAATAATTCTATTTAAATAGGAAATAAATGTTAAATTTTTAAGTAGACATTTTAGTGTAAATCAAATCAGACATATGGAAATTCGCTTAGTCTGCAGGTTTGCTGCGGCGGGGGTATTTTATTTAGATATAATTTTCACTGGTTGTCTATAATACTGAAAGAAAAGCTGTAGATTTAGTTTAATTCAATTTGTTCTAATTCAACGCTTTTAAGACAGTGACGCACACTTTGGGTGCGTGTTTTTGGTGAATTTGGATGAAAGGTAAGTGTATTATTGAATTTAATTGATAATTGATGATTGATAATTAATGATCCGTGTAGCTTTGTTACGGATTGAGATCAGCGGCGTCTTAGCCAGGATCATTTATTAAAAGCCCAAAAGCCCAGTGATCAAGGGGCAGCTGGGTCCAGTTTCGAACCATCAAAAAGCTACTGACTTTTCTTTTCTCAGCCATCCCATATATTGACATGTAAGCATGTTTGTTGAAAACCTTTTTCTCAGCTCATGTGCTTCGCAGGGAAAATATACGCACTGTTAAAATAAGAATAGTATATTTCATAACTAGGAGCGAAAGTGGCTCTTTTAGGTACCAGAACTTAATCATGTTTTACAAGTGAGGCGCTGCCGAGTACCATAAAGACACTTTCGCACCGTGTGGTGAAAAACAATTTTCATCATACTTTTGAAATAACCTTATTCTAATCGTTACAAAAATTAGACCGCATATTTCGAGGTTGTACAAAGTCAAGGTGTATGAAAGATTATACGCCTTGTTACAAAGTCGTCATCAATGTTTACATCCATGTTGTTTAAAAACAACTTTTTTCTTTTTATGACTTTAATTTTTATCCATGTCACTGTTTAAAAAAAAAAACCCCCGCCGCAGCAAACCTGCAGACTTAGCGAAGTTCCATTTGCCTGATTGGATTTAAACTAAAATGCCTCCTTAAAAATACCTATCACATTTATTCCCTATTTAAACAGAATTAGTTTAATGAGTACTTAGGTTTGCTGCAACAGGGAGGGTAAAAAAGTTTTTTTTATGTAAAATATTAAAAGGTACTGTGGTTTAGTAAGAAATTAATGTATTTTCCAAATTTGATCAAAATATGTTCATAAACAAGCAAACTACAACAGTTGACTTATTCTCCATAAGAATAACATGGGACATTAACATTTTTTTGAATTTTCTCCGTAACAATTAGGCGCATAATAACGCTTCAATATACTAAATTATTTGTTTTTTTAAGCTCTAAAAAATGGTTTAAAAAGAAATTGTGAAATTTTGTGTTTTTAGGGTCAAAAATGGGAAAAACCTATTTTTACCCCATAAAACCCCCCATAAAACCCCCCATAAACCCCCGTTCCCATAGTCCGATCATGCTGGTTCGCGAACTCATTCAAGTTTATCCCGCCTTACACCTTCAAACCAAATTTTATCAAAATCGGACAAAAATTACTCAAGTTATCGTGCGGATGGACACACACACATATATATAAAAATTTGAACGAATGGTGTTTTTTTTGGCCTCTGGGGACATCAAAATGAAAAAGTAAATCGGTCCCGGGCTCCGGGGTCCGGTCGGGTCCGGGGGGGAGTAAATCGGTCGGTGCGGGGGGGGGGGTCGGGGTCTTACCATGAGACCTACGGTAATAGCTACTTCCCTATAGGGAAATTCGCTAAAAAGAGAGCAAATGCGCTAACAGATAACAACGATAACAATAACAGGAAATATGTAAAAAAGAGTAGGCTCAGCATCCAGTCATCCTCCTTCAAAAGGCTAGCGGCTGGTGATCATAGGTGATGGGAGGGCTCTGTATACAGTATTTTAAAACGAAAGCCTTCCATCATTCAAGTTTGTCTAAGAATTGAACGCAATTTTAAAGTTGAATTTGTAAAAAAAATAGGTAAACATAGGCCTACAGTATATATTTCTTCATTAAACTTGTTTTCAAGGCAGCTTAGTTTTAACCCAAAAAACTGTAATTTTAAATTCCCATGTTATTTTTATGGAAAGTAAGTAAACAGTTGTAGTTTGCTTGTTTATGAACTTGATCAAATTTGGAAAATACATTCATTTCATACTAAACTACTGCAGGTTTGCTGTGGCGGGGGTATTATGTGGAATATCGTGGACCATTTCCAATTAAAAAGAAAGGGCAAGCAACGATCAAGTTAATGATCTATTCCTATTCTTTGCATCATAATCCGGAAGTATATTGCAGTAATATGTAATTTTTTGTCCCATTAAAAACGCATGATTTGTTAAACATTTATAGTTTTTTATTGTTTTTGAACATGAGTTCGAATCTGAGTGGAATTGAAAACCACTAAACTGGTCATAAACTGATCTCAAGTCAACATAAAACCCGATCATCATTTGAGTTGGTAGCAAGGGGGAATAGAACTTTCCGAAATGTCAATAATTGATTCAATTGCGTCCAGTCCAACTTACTTCACCAAGTAATCCTTAGAAAAGGTCCTTGAATACCCAAGAAAGGGCTTCTACCGACTCTGAAATGTTAGAATTTGTGTTTATATTGCACTTAATTTTCCACGTGTAATTGAATTATGATATTCAATTTTACTACTCTTTCCCTATATGCTTAGAACTCATTAATGCCCTAAAATACGTTTACCACAAAAGGGTTTACAAAAACGATTTTTTAATATTACAAATTTAAGATGAAAAAAATCACTGGGAAATCAAAAATGCTAATCTAAGATGTAGCAAATACAGATTTTATTACATGTACAAAACAATTTACTATTACAAACATAAAAACTAAATTAACATAATACAGTAACTTATAACTTATGAAAATTATCCGGCCATGGTCATTTAAATTATTTAATAATTATTAATCGTGATAAATTATTTTTGTAACAAAAAAAATTTAAAATTAAATTGGTACAGCTGTCTGGAACTCAAGTATCTAATGAAGAAAACATGACCAAAATAGTGTATTTTAACTTAACACCCGAAAGAAA